CTCCTTCACCACACAGATGAACGGCTTGCCGGAGTCCTCCAGGCCATGGCCGACCTCGAACAAGTACTTGGGGACCTTGCAAGCGAGGCTGCCAAAGTTGACGTAGGTGACGGAGTCGGTGTCCATGCCGTCGAGCCACGTGGTGATCGCGCTCTGGGCGACGTCGAGCGTGTTCCCGCGCGACGCCATGGCGTCGGCGTCCCGATTGTAGAGGCAGAACGGCCCGAGCGTCCACACCGGCTTGCCGAGCGCGGCCTCGTAGCACGCGATGAACTCGTCCTCGAGGTCCTTGAACGTGTTCACCACCGCGCCGTCGGCCGTGCGCATGGCTTCCATGGTGAGTTGAAGAATCCTGGCGAGTTGAAGAATCCTGGCTGCGTGTCCTTGGTGACCTCCACGCGCACCGGCATGCCCGGCACGACGTACCTGTCGTCGTCGCCCTGCTGCTGCAGCCCGTGAGCGGCGGCGTTGAGGTCGCAGAGGGAGTAGAAGCACGACGGGCCATGGAAGAACAGCCGCGGGACGCCGACGCGGCTCGCCACGCCGGCCGTCCACGGGTTGGACCAGTCGGAGATGACGCAGCTCGGCGGCACCGGCAGCGCGCGCAGGTACGCCTCGAGCGGCGCGGCGAGGTGGCGCATGACGTCGAAGAACGGGCGGAAGTGGGCGTAGTCGGTGATCTGGTCGACGTTCTCGACGCCCGGCGGCAGGCCGGCGTCGGCGGCCGACGGCGAGAACGACACCTCCACTATCTCGAGCGGCAGCTTGGCGCGCGCGGCGTGGTCGGCGACGCCGCGTAGGTGCGCGGCGTTCACGGGCGTGACGACGAGGCTGGCGCGGGCGCCGCGCTCCGCGAGGAGGCGCGCGAGGTCGACCATGGGGATTGTGTGGCCTTGCGCCGGAAAGGGGACGATGACAAAATGCGGCGGTGGCAGCGGCGGCGGCGGTGACGTAGCAGAAACGGAGTCCGGCGTGGGCGCCATGGTGGGCACGAGAGCGGTGCGAGTGGCAGCCAAAAAGCTTTGATAGTGTGGGTGATGTGGGAGATTGGATACAGCATAGAGAGTGATTTATAGCCATCAAAGCGGTCCAGCTCTTTTTTTCTTTTTTGCGCCATTCTAGAAGCTTTTGTGATTATAACTATCTCGATATCTCTTCTAATCTTGGAGTATTATTATTGCTAACTACGAAAAACATACCTGCCTTTGTCTAGCTACTGTTTGGCTATGTACATCCTTTTGGTTTTGGGTTGCTGTGTTATAAGTAAAAGCTATACAATTAACCAACATTATTTTTCTATTTTCATCAGCATATTTAGTAACATTCTAACAATTGACGCTTAGTTAAGTTATTTATCGAAATAACCTTCGGTTGCACCACAATTTTGATGTACGTTTGAGTACAACCACATCACTATTTATGGCGTGGCATGATATTTTCCACACATGATCGCTACATCGAAACGTGGCAACGAACACTGCCAAACATGAACACGAGCTATAGTAGCCCGAGCAGATTAATTGGATGAAGAAAGGTTTTTAGCCATCGAGGTGGTCCGCTGATGTCTTTTGTTTCTCTCTAGAAGCTTTGGTGACACTATTGCATCATCTATCTTATCTATGTATTACCGTATCTCTCTAATCTTCTCTCATTATCAAAAAAAAAAAGCTCTACTCTTATATTATTATTATTATTATTATTATTATTATTATTATTATTATTATTATTATTATTATTATTATTATTATTATTATTATTATTATTATTATTATTATTATTATTATTATTATTATTATTATTATTATATGCTAAAAGTAGGAAAATTATCAACATATGTCCAGCTATGATGAGGTACTAAAAATAAAAAGTACATGATTCTATCAACAAATATCCCCATTTATACTCCTTCGCAAAGCATAGGAATGATTATATTGCACAACACTTAGCTAGAGGTCCCCAAGATCAATTTTTCCTTCCCCTTTCGCAGCAAGCGTTTGATGAATATAAGGACATGCAAGAAAATCTCCAATCCTTTACCCTTCAGGAGGTTGATGATTCATGGACATTTGTTTGGGGATCAGGGAAATTCACTTCGCGACTCTGTTACAAGCTCAGTTTTCTGGCTCTCACTCCCCCACCTACTATCAAATGGATATGACAGTCCAAAGTCAATATGAAAATTAAGGTCTTTGAATGGCTCTTCTTCATGGACAGGGTTAATACAAGGGATCTCCTTGATAGAAAGCACTGCGCGCCACCCAATACTTCAGTCCTTTGTCTCTCTTGCTCAGCTAATGCCAGAGAAACTAGAGATCTCCTGTTCTTCCTTTGTCCTTTTAGTGCGGCTTGTTGGAATTGTCTGGGATGGACATGGAACCCTAACTTGGATTTTCATCAAAGGATCCAGGCTCAAAAAGTGGCTGTCTTGCATTCTTGCTTTATGGATCTATTCTTAATTGCCTCATGGAATATCTGTAAGGAGAGAAATGGACTTATCTTCTAAGGCATCCAGCCCTCAGTGCAAAACTGGTTGATGAACTTGAAGTTAGATTTGAGCTTACATTTAATTAGGCTCAAAGAATGTTACAGGCCCCTAGTTCAATCATGGATAGATCAGCTGTAACTTAGATGTTTTTTTTCCTTCATTGTTTATCTTTTTCCTTCTTTGTACATACTACTGGAAAATTAATATACCGTGGGGGCCTCCCCCACTACCTTTGGTTAAAAAAAGTACATAAATCTATATATCCATCATTTTTTGTACATTTAATAATAAAAAGACATATTTCTAAACATGTTTAATAATATTCTAACAATAGACTATTAATAATGTTACTTCTAAAATAACCTTTCATCACACCACTATTTTGGCAGGCTTTTAAGTACAACCATGACATTGTTTTCGGTACGGCCGGGACGATATGCTATAGATATGTTAAATGGGGCGAGTACAATGGCTGAGGCTGGGCCGGTGAGCAGTGGCAAATACAGAACTAAACTTAAAGTGAAGAACTGTTAGTGGGATCCAAAAGTTGAATAAAACTATCCATCAAAATGAAAACTAGTTTACCCTTTTATCTAAAATTAGATATGAACAAGATAGTAGATTGAAAAATGAATTTGTAATTATGTAAAATAGAAGTAAAAGACAAGAGATTAAAGAAATGGCTTACTATGCATGGGCTGCAACTCAGGCTTGGCTTGGCCTTCCAGGGCCGTGTATTAGCATCTGTAGAGAGTATCTGACAATACAGGGCCCTTAAAATTTAGAGACAATAAATTTTAGTATTAAATTCAGTCTGTTCAAATATCTTTGAGGATATTTGCATCGTACTTTTTAACTAATCTGGCTATGAATAGGGTTTACAAAATCATGCGATTATCACTGTTATCACATACGGTAATCTTTTTAGTTTTTGAATCACTGTAAACCTCGTGGTAACCGCACAGTTTTCACGGTAACCATGTTGTTATCGTGATAATTGTCTCACCATGGGTGATGGTAACCCCATCCAAAACGGTTTGGTGAATCCTGGCTATGAGCCAGGCTGAGGCTTGCTTGGAGAGCCTCACGTTAGAGAAGATACAATAGCAGACTATAAGCCAGCTATAAACATATTTCGAGGAGATAAAAGACGAGAGAGAAGAGCACCGGGCTACATATTTATAGCCAGTTGTAGCACGGACTCTAAGATGCACATGTGTATGACATGTGGGACCAAACATTAATTATGTAGTATATTTTTATAGGTAACTATTGTATGAATTGGCTATTAAATTAACTATAGATGATTACTATTAAACTTGCTCTTAGAGCCACACAATCATCATTGCTGGTCAGGGGTTACTCATCCGACTCACACGTGATGTATGCATGTATGCTTCCTCGATGAAACAAACACATGAAGAACAGTGGAATGAAGACAAGTAGAGCCAATAAGTGATAGAATTGGCCCTTGCCAGGGTAACTACTAGCTAGGTGACTGTCCATATGTGAAAGAACGCATGACCACCTAACAAATTAAACGTGGGTAGCTCGGAAGAATCGGATGAATAATTTCATGTCATTCATTCTTACAGAGTACTATAAATTGAATGGTTTAGATGAATTAAAACAAAGACAAGATTTGTATGGTTAGCACTTTAAAATTAAGGTAGAATTGTTGTGAGATAGTGGAGCGAAACAAATCTTACAATGGACGTAGCCGGTGTGTCGTGTTCCATATACTCTCTTCTTTAACACTCCTTACACCATCTATCAACTGGGTATTGCTCTGTTATTGTTTCTCCATGGTTGGATGCGCATACACTTTAGTTGTGCCTAGTTGTTACCATCACCGCTCATAGTATTTGTTAATCTTCCATATTTAATAGGAGAACATTGCCATAACCAAAACCATATAATTGATAGCGTTTGTTCCATAAAACCGATGGTAATCTCCGAGTTGTATTATGATTTATGAAATTACGGTTTTTATTTTACTATATTTTTAATTGTGATTTTTATTTTTTTTTGTTCTTTGCATCATAAATCTTTTATCTTTTGTTAAGATCTATGCTGCAAGGGTTAATTTGTTGAGTTTTCCTAAAATAAAATATTAGGCTCTCGCTTCATTGGAACAAATGCAATTGATGTTAACATGAATTCTACTTATACATATAACATTTCCCCTATTCCTAAAAATGTGGTTACATGCATATTAACTTGTAATTTTCACAATGGTCTCTAGGGGTAGCACAACGAATCTAAGCGTTTGTATTATTTTATCTAATGATAATGTCGGTAGATTTTTTTACTTATAGTATAAATCGATGATTTAGATTGTTCTACTAATAATAAGCCTAGTACTAGAATACTACCAGTACCTAGAATACTACTAATACCGGTAGAGATAAGGGTTTATCTTAATAGCAGTTACCACATGCAGTCGTACTTCCCAAGTACCGGCCAGTCGTACTTCCCAAGTACCGGTAGAGATAAGGGTTTATCTTAACAGCAGTTACCACAGGCAGTCGTGCTTCCTATAGCGGTTTGGTAGCAAAAACAACTATTGAGTTTCATATGATCTAAAGTTTGTTGTTGTTGATAATAATTTATAAAATAAATAAATGGTTAAATTGTGATATTCAAGATCGATTTTATGTCTTATGATATATCAGTCGTAAAATAAGTGCAGTTCTCGATCTAAATTTTGTCCCAAAATAAGTAAAATCCTATAGTGCTACTTGTAACTTGAAACAACCCAGAAATTTAAGCTATTTTAAAAATTAAAAATTATGTGGCATATATCACTAATTAATTAGTTAACTAGCAAAATTGTTGGAAATAAGAATAAGCCACTCAAAATTTATGAAATTCACATCCGTCGAAGTTAAAGAAACAAACAATGTCCAATATACAACCACAATATAATAGTAATAATTGGAAATATAGTACAGCATCATGGACACCGTGGCGCCGACCGGCACGCCGACGCCGAGCACGTCGACGGCGAGCCGCTCGTTTAGGAACTGGTCGGAGATGTGCGGCCACGTTACGACCGGCACGCCATGGGTGATGTCCTCCAGAATCGAGTTACAGCCACAATGGGTGACGAAGCCACCGACGGCGCGGTGCGACAGGATGGCGAGCTGCGGCGCCCACCCGCGGACCACGACGCCGCGCCCCGCCACGCGCGCCTCCAGCGCGGACAGCCATTCTTGCACCTCCGGCGTGGCCACCTCCGACACCTTCACCACCCAGATGAACGGCTTGCCGGAGTCCTCCAGGCCATGGCCGACCTCGAACAAGTACTTGGGGACCTTTTGGATCATGTCGTTGAATAATTTTGTTTCCTGACGTTCTTCGTATATTCTTTTATCCAACCTATACATTTCTCCAATGCAAATAGTTGATCGATATTTCCATGTGATGTAGAATTACAAAAAAAATACATCTATTTATATTTCGCGTCGTACATGTGCTACTTGATCATCTGTGTGGGAAATAACTAATGAAGGACCGGGACTGACACTATATCTGGGAACATATATGTGATCTCCAGAGAAGGAAAACAGAGAGAGAGGAGATGGACGATGACGACAAAACAACGAAACACTTTACTCCATTCTAAAAAATTACCTTAGTTCTAAAATAACTATAGTTTTATGAGTAGAAGGATAAATTAACAACGAGGGAAAATCAACTAGCTGTTCCCTATCAAATGGGGGTGGTTGAAAGTGTGAAGATAGTTGGGGGTAAAATTAGAGGAAATTTGAATGAGTTATTATTAATGGGACAATTTACAAGTAACACTATAGGTTTTACTTATTTTAGGATGGATATAGAATAATATGTAAAATCGATCTTGAATATCGTAATTTAACCATTTAGTTCTTTTATAAATTATTATCAACAATAACAAACTTTACATCATATGAAACTTACTAGTTGTTTTTGCTAACGAACCGCTATGGGATGTACGGCTACTGCGGTATTTACTATTAAGATAAACCCTGATCTCTACTGGTACTAGAATTCTAGTACTAGTCTTATTATTAGTAGAACAATCTAAATCATCGATTTATACTATAAGTAGAAAAATCTACCACAATTAATTTAACATATAGTATGAATAGACATTACCATTAAATAAAATAAGACAAATGCTTAGATTCATTATGCTACCTCTATAGACCATTGTGAAAATTACCAATGTTAATATGCATGTAACCACATTTTTAGGGTTAGGGGAAATGTTATATGTACCCTCAGTTGCATTAATTTAATTTCTTCCAATAAAGCAATAGCCTAAGTATTTTATTTCATGAAAACTCAACAAATTAACCCCCGCGGCATAGATTTCAACAAAATATGAAAGATTAAGATGCAAAGAAAAAAATTAAAATTAAAAATAAAAATATTATTAAAATAAAAGCCGTCATTTCATAAATCATAATACAATTCGGAGATTACATTCGGTCTTATGAAACAACCGCTATCAATTTTATGTTTTGGTTATGACAATGTTCTCCTATTAAATATGAGGAAGGAGGTGCTAGCAACAACTGTGCACAATACGAGGAAAGAGATACTGCCAACAACTGTGTAACTGTAGTGGATAGGCATCCAACCATGGAGCAACGATAATTCAATAGACATGACAGAACGGACCAATACCCAAATGAGGACTATTAAAGAAGAGAGCATATGAAGCACGGCACACAAGCTGCGTCTATAGTAAGATTTGTTTCACTCCATTATCTCATTTCACTCCATTATCTCACAACAGTCATACCATAATTTTAAAGTGCTAACCATATAACTCTTATTTTGTTTTCATCTATCTATACCATTCAATTTATAGCACTCCGCAAGAATGGATCATCATGCAATTCTTCCGAGCCAACCGCGTTTAATTTGCTAGGTGGTCATGCATTCTTGCATATATTTGCTAGGTGGTCATGCATTCTTGCATATATGGACAGTCACCTAGCTAGTAGTTACGTACTCGGTCAAGGGCCAAGGCTATCACTTAATGATTCCTACTTGTCTTTTGTTTCGCTGTTCTTCACATGTTTGTTTCATCGAGGAAGCCCTGACCTGCATTGGTGATTGTGTGGCTCTAACGTGAGAAGCTCTCCTAGCAAGCCTCAGCCTGGCTCATAGCCGGGGTTCACCAAGGCGTTTTGGATGGGTGTACCATCACCCGATGATAAGACGGTTATCGCGATAACAACATGTTACCGTGAAAACCATGTGGTTAACACGGGTTCATAGTGGTTTTAAAAACTAAGTTTACCGTACGTGATAACTGGGATAATGCACGGTTTTGTAAACCCTACTCATAGCAAGATCGTTGAAATAGGAAGCGGATATCCTCAAATATATTACAAAGACAAGTTTTAACTCCACTATCTTGTTCATATCTAATTTTGGATAAAGGGGTAAACTAGTTTTTATTTTGATATATAGTTTTATTCAACTTTTGGATCCCACTAACCGTTCTTTAACTTTAAGTTTAGTTATGTATTTGCCACTGCTCGCCGGCCTAGCCTCAGCCATTCTACTCGCTCTATTTGAGATATCTATAGTAAATATCGTCCCGCACAAAAAACAATGGCATGAATGTACTTAAAAGACAAAATTTGCTAAATGACATTTAAATATTATGGTCTTTGCTGCTAGATATGATAAAAACAAGGTTTTGCTTTTGGACATCCTGGAAACATTGTAGTAATTTGTTGCTATACATTGCATCGATTATTTTATTATTTCTTGCCTATTCGGAGAGAGAATCATTTTGAAAAAACCAAAATACCCTAGTCTAGGCCGAGTTTAGTTCTAAATTTTTTCTTCAAACTTTCAACTTTTCCATCACATCAAAATTTTCCTATACACATAAACTTTCAAGTTTTCTGTCACATCGTTTTAATTTCAACCAGACTTTCTATTTTAGCGTGAACTAAACGCACCCCTATTTCGGTTTCCCCGGTGGGCGGTGGGTGACTGTCAGTCATTTTTTCACTCAAAATCAGTCAACCAGTCAAAATCCCCAAATAACCATCCCCTTCTCTTTCATCCTTCCATTCCAGTGATATGGGACAATGGCGGCGACACAACAACTCCCTCCCGGCGCGGCAGCTAGTGCTCAACGCGGCCGACCCGTCCGGCAGAACACGACGGTGATGTACCCGCACCCGGACGGTGATGTTCGTCGCCAACAACATTGTCTCGTCATCACCATCGGTGTCCGATCTCCCCGACGTTCTTGCAGCAGGGCACGTGAGGCGGGAGTGGAGGAGAAGGCGGTGGAGTCGGCGTCGGCGTCGGCACGGTCGGAGCTGGAGAAGCAGTAGCGTCGGCGGCGGTTCTTGATGATGAAGCTCTTGTATAGTAGAGGCTCTCTATGGCAAGCAACACTGCAACAGCAAGGTAGTTTACGGCTCTTGCTATGGCCAGCTAGCTAGGGAGAGATAAGGTACAGCTCGTCGCGTGTGTGTGGTGGCCGATGCTCACCGAGAATGTTTGACAATTTCCTGGAAGAGGGCCGTGGAGTACTGCTTGATGCTCAGTGGAAGAACAGAAGAGGAACTTGAAGATAATGGTACAAGAAGAAAAGGGTATAAATGACATTTCACACAACATGTCTCTCCTCTCCTGGCTGTATATATTATTTTGTTGCTGGTAATGTCCAGTAGCTAATTACCAAGTTTCTGGGATACTAAAAGCAAAATCTCGTTTTTACGATGTCTACTAACAAATACCGTAATCTTTAGATGTCGTTGTTAACAGTGAAATTTTGTAATTGGTAAAGACGTCATCGGCTTAGAATCATTATCGGCTACAGCATCTCGGAATCAGCCGATGGGAGTTATCAAGTCACCAATAGTCGGATTCCTGCTATATTTGGTTAAGGAAATCAATCTACTAAAGGAAGCTTATCCCTAAGTGACCGAGTTTAAAAAGGATGTGGCATGGCAGTTTATCTATTAATTAGGAATAGTTTGTTAGTTTCCTTTTATCTTTAGGAAAGTATGTTTAGTGTCCGATAAGGACTTTATATTTTTCTTTTATCTTTAGGTTAGTTTCTTTCTTGTCCGACAAGGACTTGTATCAACCCATGGGTATAAATATGTACACCCGATGTCTATGTAATTTATCTCTACGATCAATACAATTCGGCACATCGCCACCTTTTTTACTTCTACTTTTGTTTTTTACGTTCCGGCGGAACTTGGCACCCGACGCGGGGCTGCGTCGTCTTCGATCTCCGGCGAAGGGATAAGTCCAATGTTCCGTCGGCCCAGGCAATTGTCTCATCTACATCGGCGTCGTTCAAGGCTGCATCAGTACATTCGACCTCTTGGATTGCTCTAGTTTGGATGATATATTTGCCTACCTATTTATCATATGTCTCTATTAATCTAGTCCTAGCATATCAATTTAGCTATATCGGCTGCTTCTCGTTTTAGGGTTTCTGCCGATATCGGCTAAATCGCGTTGCTAGATTAGATTAGCTCAGACATCTACCACCCTAAAACTCAGTCAACGGCTTGATTGTCTAGATATTATGTTTCTTTTCATACTTAGTGCTGCATCAGTTAAGTTTGATCTACTAAGTCGTGCTTAGAACCATAATCTCTAGCCTGCTTCTTGATTGACAACAAGGGTTTCATCGAGGTTTCAGCCGGTGAGTTATCTGGACGTTGCATCGGCTCATAAGGATTGCACATACATATAAGTTGCATTTCGCCGATGACAACAAAGGTTTCACTGTTTAATCTAATCTTGTGGATTTCATGACACCGGACCTCCAGCCGATGTGTGCTTTAACCTTCGGATCGATGCTTATTTATCATATCATTGCTAGCCGATTGGTTTATACTGGATTATATTGTTATTTTATTGCATCATCATCAGCCGATTGCCTTTATATCATCCGATGTGTGTTCGATTTTTTTTTCGTCAACACAGATGTGTTAGCAACCAAATTTGGTAATATTGGCATCGGGAAAGAAGATTAGATCGAAGCAAAGTCGGAGGCGGAGATCGAGTTTGGAAACAGAGTAGGAATCGGCTGGAGTCCAGATCGGCTACGAGTAGGATCGGCTGGGTCTGAGTCGGGCTAGGTAAGCCGATGCAGCCGATTCCGACGATGCAACTTGATGTATGATATCGGGTTGAATTGAGGCGCTTCAAGGTGATTGCCGCACATGGATAGAGTCCTGAGAAGGCAATTGTATCTAGTAATTAGGATGTTTTATGTAATTACCTTAGATATATGTTTGGGCAAAAATCTGCCGCAAAGACTTATGGTATCTTAGAGTTTGTT